TTGTCACCTGATCAGGAGGAGGACAGTATACACATTTATCTAGTCGGCCAGGCCTAAGCAGCGCAGGATCAATCAAGTCAGGGCGACTAGTAGCAGCCAACACATAAACACCTGGGGGGAAGAATAAAAATTATTACTAAGTCTTGGTGAGATTTTTGTTATAATAAACTATTTTGGTATTTACTATTATTACCCTGTAAGCCTTCTACTCCATCCAGCTGAGTTAGCAACTGATTAACCACACGGTCTGTGACTCCTGTATTATCATGGCCTCGCCGAGGAGCAATGGATTCAAATTCATCGAAGAAAAGAATGCAGGGTTTTGCAGCCTGAGCTCTGGGAGAAACAAACAGTATTTAATAGTTTTGAATAGGGCTTCAGAGTTTGCAAGGTAATTTTATATACATGCACACACACACGTTATGTATTTATTTAAAGCCCACAACAAATCCTTGAAAAAGGCAAGGCCTATGTAATTTACTAGTTCTCAGTAAATTGGGTCTTAGCAAGGTCAAGGTGTTTGCTTATGACGCAGGCCTCCTGGCCAAGAACTAAAACCAGAGTCTTATTCAATAAGTGAAATGCTTCTTTGATTCTTAATATAAGTAAACATTTTTATATGCCTTCTAGAGGCCTGGTGCATGAAATTCGTACACTTGGGTGGGGGGAGTCCCTCAGCCCGGCCCTTGCCCTCTCACAGTCTGGAGCCTTGGGAGCTGTCCAACTGCCGGCTTAGGCCCCTGGGGAGTGGGCCTAAGCCATCAGTGGGACATCCTTAGTGCTGCCGCAGAGGTGGGAGAGGCTCTCACCACCACCACTGTGCTTGCCAGCCGTGAGTCCGGCTTCTGGCTGAGCAGTGCTCCCCTGTGGGAGTGCACTGACCACCAGGGGGCAGCTCCTGCATTGAGCGTCTGCCCTCTGGTGGTCAGTGCGCATCATAGCAACCGGTTGTTCTGCTGTTCAGTCGATTTGCATATTAGCCTTTTATTATATAAGACTGGCCACCTTTATTTCTTTTGTGAAATGCCTATTCATATCTTTTTGTCCATTTAAAATTTGGCAAGCTCATTATTTTCAGATTGTTTTGTAAGAACTCTGTATAAAATATATTTTGGTTATGTATATTACCTTTTTTCCTAATTTGAACTTTGACTTTTAATGTATTATTTGATTAACTAATTTTGTTTTAATTAAAGAAAAGAGAATATAAATTCCAGCTCTGGTAACAGACTGGTCTAGATGTCTGAAGAACTGCCCCTACTACAAAACACCTGTCATGCTGATTAAAAAACACCCAAGGTATCTTATTAAATTAGCATGACAAGTAAAACAAATCTGAGGCCAACAACAGACTAGAACAGGGGTGGGCAAACTTTTTGACTCAAGGGCCACAATGGGTTCTTAAACTGGACCGGAGGGCTGGAACAAAAGCATGGACGGAGTGTTTGTGTGAACTAATATAAATTCAAAGTAAACATCATTACATAAAAGGTTACGGTCTTTTTTTTTTTTTTTTTTTTTAGTTTTATTCATTTCAAACGGGCCGGATCCAGCCCATGGGCCGTAGTTTGCCCACAGCTGGACTAGAATGATGTGCTCATGGAATGATTGCCAAAACTTTCCTAGAAAACCAACTGGGTTTGATATTTGATTTGTGTAAAGATCTTGAACAAGTGACTAATTTTTCCCCTACAGTTACAGGACTATTCAGATTTTGTTTCTTCTTTCCTTGATTTTGGTCCATTCTATTTTTGTCCATGTCACCCAAGTTTCAAAAGTATTGGCATAAAGTTTGTAATATTATTTCATAATTTTCCCTTTTACATTTCTCATATCTTTAGTCATGTCCTTTTGTCCCTAATATTGTTGATTCATACTCACTTTCTTCTTGATCTTGTTAACGATCGATCAATTATACCAGGCTTTCAAAAAATATTTGGGTTTGTGAACTTCTCTACTGAATTGTTTTCTATTTAATTAATTTTTGCTCTTAAGTTTATTATTTCCTTTTATTTTTAGTTTATGCCCATACTTTCCTAATTTCATGAGTTGAATATCTACTGATCAACTTTAACCTTTTTTCCCCCCTAAGAATTTAAGGCTATACGTTATCCTTGAAATAAGTTGTGCAGCATCTGATAATTTTAACAGAATTTTCATTATTTTTTTAAATATATATTTTTATTGATTTCAGAGAGGAAGGGAGAGGGAGAGAAAGATAGAAACATCAATGATGAGAGAGAATCATTGATCAGTTGCCTCTTGCATGCCCCCCACTGGGGATTGAGCCTACAACCCAGGCATGTGCCCCTGACTGGAATCGAACCTGGGACCTTTCAGTCCGGAGGCCAATGCTCTATCCACTGAGCGAAACCAGCTAGGCTAGACTTTTCATTATTTAATAGTGCCAAGTATTTTCCATTATGATCTCCTGTTAACCCATGAGTTATTTAGAAGATTTTTGTTTTTTTTAATATCTAAATGTATGGAAGGGGATTATCCTTTTGTCATTTATTTTGTGTTTTCAGAAAATAGTCTGTGAGATACTGTTTCTTTGAAACTTACTGTAATTGCTGTATACGGCCTTGCACATGGCCAATTTTCAAATATGTTCTAGGTGTGCTTGAAAAGAATACATCGTCTCCAGTTGTTGGGTACATGTTCTAAATATGCTTAGAGTAATCTTGCTGAATATGTTGTTTAAATCTTCTAAATTTTTACTATTTTAAACCTCAATCTAACTAATTATGGAGACCTATGTTAAAATATTTTCCTATGAAGGTGGATTTGTCAATTTCTCCTTGCAATTCTGTCAATTTTTGTCTTAAATATTTTGAAGCTACAATATTAGATACAAACAATAGAACTGTACTGTCTTCCTGGTAAATTGACCCTTTTGTCAATATGGTGACTATCTTTATCTATAACAATGCTTTCCTGGTAATGTTCCATTTCTAAAATTGGGTGGTGGATATACAACAATTCATATTGTTATTATCCTTCAAAATGTGTATGTACATTACATATATTCTCCTAATTGCTCATTTTATATACAATTTTAGAAGAATGAAGTAGCTTTTTAATTTGAAAACTCCCTAGAATCTAATCACATTTAAATAATTATTTTGATTCTTAAATATTAGCTTTTTATTCATATGTATCTATATATATAAAAGCCTAAGCGACTGTTCTACCGGTAGCTATGACACACACTGACCACTAGAGGGCAGACACTCACCCCACAGGCATGGAAACATGGAACAGACTGATGAATCTCAGAGGGGAGAGGGGGGAGGGTGGGAAGATCTTTATATGCATAAAGATCTTATATGCATATACTAGAGGCCTGGTGCATGGATTCGTGCACTGGTGGGGTCCCTCAGCCTGGCCTGTGGGGATTGGGCCAAAACTGGCAGTCCAACATCCACCGAGGGGTCCAGGATTCCAAGAGGGCAAAGGCCAAGCTGAGGGACCCCACCGGTGCACCAATCCATGCACCGGGCTTCTAGTTTTTATATAAATGCAGTAACAGTTATACCCTTAATTAAGGTGCCCTCACGGAATCTTAAATCAAAAAGATAAAGTACAGCAATTATGTGATTCATATAAGGATTTACTTTGAGGTTCCTTTGAATAACCACTTATGTATGATTCCACTTTCAGCATTTCAGGAATATTTCTTTTGTAAACATAAAACCAAATAATTTACCAAACTTAACATTGAAAATGTTTTATATTTAAGTGAAAATGTTTTATATTAAGTGAAACAGAATCTTTGTTTTCTAGATTATTAATAATCCACATAAATCACAGCTTTCAAATATGTATCAGTTCTTAAAACACAAACACACACACACACACACACACACACACACACACACACAAACCAACTGAAGACCAGAAAGCACTGACTAATAAATAATGGAGTGAGTTACTTAAAAAACACTCATTGTGAACCAACCTAGTAAAAATATCCCGAACAGCTTGCTCACTTGCTCCAATATATTTGCTGAGTAACTCTGGCCCCTATTAGATAAAATAAAATTAAATTAGAATTATGATAAAATTGTTTAAAAACAATATATAATTTTTGTTTATGACTATGGCCAAACGCAGTCATAGAAAATTTTTAATATGATTAAGTGTCTCTTAAACCCATTTAAAAATTCTGTGGCTAGAATAAATATCATACCACAAGTTCTACACTTGGTGTTTCCTCTGCCTAGACATTTGTCCCCAGATAGTCTCATGGCCCATTCATTGCTTCATTTCATTTAGATCTATGACAAAATGCCACATTCTCAGAAAAGCCTTACCCAACAACCCCATTTTGACCCACTCCAATGACTGCACCTCTTTATCCTGCTTGTCTTCCCAAGTAGCATCTACCACCACCTGGCAGTATATTATATATTGAATGTGTCTGTTTATTGTCTTTCACCATTAATAGAATATAAACTCCAAAAAGGCAGTTTTATTCGGCACTGAATCCCCAGTGCCAAAACAATGCCTGCCACATAGTACTGAATAGTTATTTATTTAGTAAAGTAACGAATGGTTTACAAGGGGAAAATATTCTATTTCAAATCTTTGGAGATTCCAAAAAATATGTAATGAGATCAATTACTTTAATTGGCATCTTGAATTACTGAGACCAGTTTATCTGTACACAAGTTGGAGACTATATCATCCAAAACAAACTTTACTACATATAACAAAATCAATAATGAGGCCCTGGCCAGTGTGGGTCAGTTGGTTGAACATCATCCTGTGCACCGAGGGGTCTCTGGTTCAATTTCCAGTCATGTCCAAGTTGTGGGTTCGTCCAACGGGAGGCAACCGAATGCTGTTTCTCTCTCTCTCTCTCCCTTCCTCTCTCTAAAACGTCTTTAACAACGACAAAACAATAGTGAGGATAGTCTTTTAAATTGGGATCTTTAAGGAAAAAAACATACACACCTGAATAGGTCCTAAAGTGATCTCCAGTGAAAGATCATTACCTCAAAAAGACCAAACACTGATCAGGATATGTGACCAAAATAAGGAACATCTAGCTCGCTGGTGTGGTTGAGTGTCAAACCTTAAACTGGATGGTCATGGCTCAATTCCTGGTCAGGGCACATGCTCAGGTTGTGGGCTAGATCCCCAGTGGGGGGTGTGCAGGAGGCAGCAGATCAATGATTCTCTCTCATCATTGATGCTTCTCTCTCTCTCCCCCCGCTCCCTTCCTCTCTCTGAAAGCAATAAAAACATATAAAATAAAAAAAGAACATCGAATATGAAGCCATCTAGATACCTTTTAATGTAGTAGTATTTAATTAGATTTCCTTAATATAATCAGAGAACTATAAAGGATGGAACAAGAAATAACTAAGGTAAATAGTAGGGACAAGACAACAAATTCATGTCAGTGAAAAGCCTCTGTCTCTGATATGTGCCTTGAAGGATTGACCCTGGTCCACCCAGAGAGATTAGCTCTCTACTGAAACCTTTCCACATAGAACTCACCCCAAATTGTGTTTTGAAAATCTACTAAAGGCGTAAGATGTCCTTCCTAAATTCTAAAATTCAATAATATTCACAAGCTTTACTCTTAAAATTATGTTTTTTAAAACCAGTGAAACTACATTCCAGTAACAAGGAAAAAAGATAAACAAGGTCACAGTTATTCCAGAAAAAAAGACAGGAAAATTTAAACATTACAGTGTTTCTCCATTATTGCCAGAATACTCATGTAACCAGCTCACAAAAAAATCATGTGATAAAAGAAAGGTAGGCATAAGTCAATTGCGAAATACTATAAACTGGCTTTCAGTTTATAAATCAATTTTGAATAAGGTTAAAATATATGATTCCTTGCCTGAAACCTAATCACTCTTGATAAACTAATACTGCTGGTTGCTGAAACTGTACAACTAAGATATCAGAACCCAGACTAGTGGACTATGAGACATGCTGGCATGTCCCTTCATTACCACATTCACCTTGTATCTGAAAAAACTCAGACCTAGTGTGACACAAGTGAAGATGAAATAGCCATCAGTAAGAGAACCACAAACCCAGCTTCTTGCCTGAGTGTGGTCTCCAGTCCTTATCTTTTAGGCCAGCCGTGGGCAAACTACGGCCCGCGGGCCGGATCCGGCCCGTTTGAAATGAATAAAACTAAAAAAAAAAAAAGACTGTACCCTTTTATGTAATGATGTTTACTTTGAATTTATATTAGTTCACACAAACACTCCATCCATGCTTTTGTTCCGGCCCTCCGGTCCAGTTTAAGAACCCATTGTGGCCCTTGAGTCAAAAAGTTTGCTCACCCCGTTTTAGGCTTTCTTCTCCCTTCAAATATAGTGTGCTCTTTGATTTGACTATTTGTGTATAATTCCATTAATAAAGCATGAAGATTTGCCTTAAGAGCATAAGCCCTACAAAAGACAGGTGGCTCATTATTCGATTTGCTCACAGCTTTAATAAATGGATCACTGCTCCTACTAGCTTTCCAAATATCAGACTAACCCATAAAAAATAATGGTGCTCTGGCTGGTGTAGCTCAGTTGGAGCATCGTTTTGTACGCAAAAAGATGGCGGGCTCAATTCTCCATCAGGGCACATACCCAGATTGTGGGTTTGGTCCCCAGTTGGGGCACGTTCAACCGATAAATGTTTCTCTCTCACACTGGTATTTCTCTCCCTCCCCCTCTCTCTACCTTTCCCTTCCATTCTCTAAAAATCAATTGAAAAAAAGAAAGAAACCTAAATGGTGGTGGCGAGAATGTGGAGAAAGAAGCACCCTCATACATTACTGGTGAGAAAGTAAAATGGTGGAATCACTGTGAAAAACAGTTTGGTGATTCCTCAAAAAATTACACATAGAATTAAAATATCACCCAGCAATTACACTCAAAGGTATATAGATTTAAGAGAAATAAAAGCATGTCCACACAGAAATTTGTAGACAATTTATAGCAGTATGTTTCATAATAGCCAAAAGATGAAAACAACCCAACTGTCCAGTGATGAACAGACAAACAAACTGTGGCATATCCATACAATGGAATATTATTCAGGCATAAAAAGGACTAGAGTACCTGCTACAACTTGGATGACCCTTGAAAACATTATGCTAAGCGAAAGAAGCTAGACACAACAGGTGGGACACAGTTCATGATTCCTTTTATATGACATGTCCAGAATAGGCAAAGCCATAGAGACAGAAAACAGATTACTGGTTGCCAGGGAAAGGAGGGAATAGGGAAAGGGATGAAAAAGTTTTGAAACTGGAGAGCATTGTGACTGCATTAAATGCCACTAAATTATACACTTTAAAATAGTTAATTACATATTACATAAATTTTACCTCAATAAAAAGAAAAGACAAATGCAAAACATACCTTGACACTAATAAAATTCATTCCACTCTCTCGTGCAATTACCCCAGCTAGTAAGGTTTTTCCTGTTCCAGGAGGGCCATACAACAGTACTCCTGTTCTCTGTCGTATGGGCAAGTTTGCAAATAATTCTGGGTACTGAAAAATACAAAAATATGACATCTCAGATCTAACCAATGACTAAGCAGCAGCCAAAGATCAATGTATACAATAAGTATTCAGATGGGGATAATTGCCACCTTTATTAACAGAACAATGATAGAAAATAAAATTACCACTCAAAATAATAAACAAACTCCTTAGATTTTTCCCCCCAATTAAATCATGGAACACATTCTACACAAAGTGCATGTAGCTGCATAGAATTTCTTTCCATTTTTTTCTGTGTGTGTTTTTTTAATACTATAAATGTACTACAGCCCTAGCCAGTTTTGCTCAGTGGATAGAGCGTCGGCCCTGGGACCAAAGGGTCCCCAATTTGAATCTGGTCAAGGGCACATACCCAGGTTGTGGGCTCAAACCCTGGGCCTGGCAGGGGCACGAGTGGGAGGCAATCAATCAATATGTCTCTCTCACAAATCAATGGGAAAATATCCTTAAATGAGGATTAAAAGAAAAAAGCACTACATTAATAAAAACCAGTCTTTTAATAAGTATACTGCCTTCCACTTACATGGTTCATGGGCAAGTTCTGACAGCTATGCAAATTCAAAGTAAGAAGAAATAATGGAAAGGCTTGGGTAATAATAATAGATAGTAAAATTTCCCATTTGGTTACATTAACTGAGGTCCTTACCCATTTCTCTCCTCTTTGCCTAGGTCCCTGGTCTCATGCAATGATGCTTCTCTCTCAGGTTTCCAATTTAAACACACTCAACCCTAGTCACTACCTTGTGATCTGAAGAGCAATCTACATTTGCCCCTATGTTCTGCCATCTGCTTGGTCTATGCTGCCTGATCACTCTACCTTTCCAGAACTGACACGTGGAGTCTGGAAATGTGACTTCATCCATCAGTTCTGTGGCCTAGATGACTCTCCACCTCCCAGTTATTCCTACCTATTTCTGTTCAAATCCCAGCTGACAGTTCATTTTGCTTTAGTACAACCTGAATGAGTCACACAAAACATAAGAATTATGAAATTCACATCAAAATGTATTTAATGTGCCCAACCAGGTTTGGCCCAGTGCATAGAGCATCGGCCTGCAGAGTGAAAGGTCCCAGGTTCAATTCCGATCAAGGGCACATGCCCAGTTTGTGGGCTCAATCCCCAGTGGGGGGTGTGCAGGAGGCAGCCAACCAATGATTCTCTCTCATCACTGATGTTTCTCTCTCCCTTCCTCTCTAAAATCAATTAAAAAATATATTTTTTAAAAAAGTATTTAATGTAAATACCACCCCCACTTTCTTTATAATCTTCTTATGGGCAAGGAGTACATCTAATATTTAAAAGGACTTTT